CGCCGCGGCCTGTAACGGCCGCTGAGGTGAGGGAGGGAGTAAGGGCCGCTGAGGTGAGGGCAGGTAACGGCCGCTGATGAAGGAGGTCCCGTCTGCTTTCTGGTCCTTCGGAGGCTTCCCCGGCCCTTCAGGATGGTCTTCGGGCTGCAGAGCCCGCCCTGGGCCTCTGAGGCCGCGCTGGGAGGGAACCAGGTCCCCGCAATCCTGCGGGCTGCAGCTGGCGGCCTCTTCCCGCCCTTGCCGTTGGTGAGGAGGAGCGGTGCTTGCAGGGCGTGATCGGGATCCGCACCTCAGCCTGGTAGCGGGGCAGCAGCCGTCCCCACGGGCAGGCCTTGCGGTTTGGACTATGTCAGGAGAGGCTGTGTTCAGGTACCCGGCGGGTGGAGAAAAAAGCCATCATGTTATGCATAGATGTGGCGAACGAAGCCATCACCTGCATGTTTTTGCTCCACAAAATCGTCTGGAAGTTCACGTTGCCTGCAGTAACTGATGCCATGTTGAATTTGCTGTTGCTCAGAGGTCTTCTGAGCTGCAAGATGTGTCCAGCTGGTTTGAGTTTCATTTCATTCTCAATTTCCTTCTGCTTGGGATGTGAGAACGATGGGATGAGGGGGAATGGTCCGAGTTTGTACCAGGGCAGGTTTAGCTTGGACATTAGGAAACATTTCTTCCCCGAAAGGGTTGTCAGGCTCTGGAATGGGCTGCCCAGGGAGGGGGTCGAGTCCCCATCCCTGGAGGGATTTCAAAGCCGGGCAGACGAGGTGCTTAGGAACATGGTTTAGTGGTGGGATGGCAGAGTTAGGTTAAGGGTTGGACTTGATGAACTTAAAGGTCTTTTGCAACCTAAACGATTCTATGAAAATAAAAAATTACTGATGGAGGAAAAGGGTCAGAAGCAGTAGTGAGGATTTGGAGGAATTTCTGTGTTTGTAATGGTGGCTCTGAGAGGTGGTTTCACTGCGTTCATGGGTTGGAAGGCTGGTCTCTGTAAGCTACTGACAGAGAAGTCATCTCCAAGAAATGAATTACTTTCAGCAGCTGGATCTGGGCTGTTAAAAGGCTGAGACATTATAGTATGGAGATAGTCTAGTGTTAATGACTTCATGATGTTCAGCAGCCAGACTGTTCTGGAGTTTGCTGAGTAGCCCATTTTAGCGGTGCATTGATCGATATGCTTCTATTTCAGATCCTGATTAGCAGCTCTGTCCTGGTGCCTTCAGTGCTTTCTGTGCCTGAAGGAATAAAAGTAGGGGGACTGGGGTGAGGGGGAAGAGTAAATAGTTTTATGTAAAGGGAGTATTAAGGCAAAGTAAACGCTTTCTTCTTCACCATCCAACTAGGTGGAAAGTGCCCCTCCCTTTTTTTTTTGTTTTCCCCTGTAACTCTGAATACTTAAGAAAGTGGATTCAAAGGTGTTGATGAAGAACATCAGTTATTCCAAGAATGTCACTGTAGCATTGAAATGGTTTTGTAAAGTTTCAGGGCTGTTCCTGCATGTTCAGTTCTGTTGGGTTTTGTGAGGAATGCATTTCCTGAACTGAGAGGTCTGTTTTGTTCCTCAGGCAGTGGCTCTAATCCTTTCCAGCATTTGGAGAAGAGTGCTGTGCTTCAGGAGGTATGAATAATTGTATGATACTGTGTAACTCTTTGTTTTTCTTCGGCAAGCATTAGCAGCTTAAGGAAGTATTACAGTGCAGCTCTGGGGGGAAATGTGAATGGCTAAATTCATACAGTTAATTTAAAACCACAGGGATGTAAATTAAGTGCACATGAAGTTACTTTATGAGGGTTTATGTATGGTAATTGGGTTACATGTGGCTTCCATGTGGACATACAGGATCTCGGGGGTGCTCTTTCTGAAGAGTTGATCTGCCTGTTTCCCTATGCTACGGTGTAACGGGTTTTCGTGTTTCTCTTTGTGTACACCAAGAACAATTGCAAGTGGTGAGGCGAACGTGTGGTTAAATAACGGGGAATTTTGGTGGGTGCAAAAAGCTGTTAAGTAGGAACCTAATAATTTAAATTTTGTATTCCTACAGGCTAGTGCTAAGTAGTGTTTGGGCTACAGATGCCATGGAAAAAAATTAAATTCTTATGCTTTTATTTTAAAGTATTTTTGCTAGTTCCAGATGGTAGCCTGAGTCGTCCTCTGTTCAGAGTGCTGCCCGTCCAGCAAACTCAACATGCATGAGCTGAATGACAGGAATGTGCTTGCTGGGACGCATTTTTAGAATGAGAAAAGTTATAAGCTACTTGGTTGAAAACAAATCGCTTTACTTTTTATGGTGAAAGAGAAATTATTGCTGGGTTACATTGCAATACCATATTTATGCTATGTTTGTAGGCACGTATCTTTAATGAGACCCCTATAAATCCACGAAGATGCTTGCACATCCTTACCAAGATCCTTTACTTGCTGAACCAGGTAACTGTTATCATTTCTTCCCAGTCAGAATGAATATTCCTGAGGCTGAGTTCTGATAACTTTCAGTGTGAAAGTTTTATACCTCTTCCTGTCAGATTTGGGAGGTAGCTTTTACAGAGATCCGAAGTTGAATGTTTATGCTGTAGTATTACATTCTCCCTTCCAATTTTGTCACTAAGGTGACTGAGGGTATGTGTCACTCAGGCTTCTAAACCTTTTTAATATATGCCAGGTGAGAGCTGCTGGTTGGTCTGCGGTCACCACAGCACTGGGCAATTAAAGAGCCATTTGTGTTTGCCCAGCTAAAGTAGGAATAACTCAGGTGAGCAAGGAACATAGGCGAGGAAGTGGAAGTGTGATAAGGACAGAGGTTTTCTTCAGGTATCCACATAGATCAGGTTTCCTGCATGCCAGGCGGGATTTAATGTAGAGTTACAATCAGTTAGGAGGGACCTATGCTGTTCAGTCTTTACTGGCATCAGTCATCTTTAAGTAAATTCCATTTAAGCAAGGGAGTTCTTCTGGTTAACAAGCATGACACAAAAATGACTGCTGGCACACTAGTGTCAAAAGAGGGAACACAGGCTACTTGTCAAACCATTTTATCACCATATCACTGTGGATGGCATTTGTATCGAAGCCAAGTAGATAGCGGTGGTATTTACTCCCTAGGAAACACAAGGTGAGGGAGAAACACGAGAAAAAGTCTCAAAGAAAAGGTTCTTGGTGTGTGGGTAGGCATTATAAGTGGTGGCTGAAAGGTGGAGGCAGCTGAATAATGACAGTGTTTTTTCTTTCACTTCTTGCATGCTGTTTTCAGGGTGAACACTTTGGAACCACTGAAGCCACAGAAGCTTTTTTTGCAATGACCAGATTATTTCAATCTAATGATGTAAGTACCTAGTGTTTACTACTTGCTGTCTCCCTGGTTTTGTCTGGATTCGCAATAATTACAAAACAGTTGGATGTTGGGATGTGGGAGGAGAGTGAGGCGAGTATCTCGGAGAACAAGCTCTGCATGCAAAGTACTTGCTGGAGGCAATTCCTGGTTTGGAAACAAATGGCTGAATAATAACATAGCGTTACTTCTGCAGGTTATTTTTGGTGGTGGGTTTTTTTTTTCCAAGTTCAATTACTGGTGTCAAGAATGCGAGTAATGACAGAAAGCTTTAATATACAAATCAGTATAATTCTATGACTGTTTCTTACACATGCAAATAATCCCCATCTGCTTAACTTGGGATTTGGAAGTTGCCTGTACACCAAATACTGCTATTCCCTAGAACAGCTTGCTCTATTCATGAATCAGCATGGAGTCAAGGGATGAGAACATCCTAAAAATGCTGGATTAAACGTTGCCCAATGTGAAGTCCTTCTGATCTCTTTTGTGGAGAGTGTAAGAGATCAGAGGAGTATGCTTCATGTGCTGGAACTCATTAATTTTTGTTAAAAATGAACTGGCACTTCAGGTTTTTAGAGATTTGGCTGAGGAAAGTTGCACCCATAACTGTTTAAAGATGGAATGAAAATTTTGGAAGTACAGACACAGAGTGTTTGAGACCTTTCTCATATCCACATTTTAGAAAGTAGTTTGTTTGGGTTTTTTTAAATTAAATATGTTAATTGCTTTCAAAGAATTACAGTGTCAGTGCTCTTTGTGTATTTCTGTTTTTCTTTTACAATAGCAAAGAGATCAGAAGTTGTTTTTAAGGTTTTTACTGATAATTGTGAGACTTCTGCATACAGACGTGATGTATCATTTCTTTCATAATTAACGTGTGGATTATAGTCCTATCATTTTGCAAGATGTATATCTTCTGGTCTGTTTGATGACAGGGAGTAAGGCTGCTAGCCAATTATCAAACATGCTTTTATTTTTGTGCTTATGACTTTGTATAGATAAGGGGAAGAGAGTGTTCTATTTAAAAGTTTATTTAACTTCTAAAACTTCTAGGAAGTGTTTATTCATAATTGCCTTTTGAGTTTAATAGTTCTCTGCAATACACTTCCACAGCAAACCCTTAGAAGAATGTGTTATCTGACTATCAAAGAGATGGCCAATATTTCTGAGGATGTCATCATTGTCACAAGCAGGTAGTAGAACCTACAGAAAACGCGGTATCAAAGCTCTGAAACAAGAAGCTGCATCTTAATGTGTTTGGTTTAGCTGCTATGGTTTTGTGTAATTGTGCTCTATAAAGGATACAGCAAGGGAAAACAAATTGTTCCATGTTGCAGAGTATGTGTCACCATATGAAATGTTAATTCCTTCCTACTGAGTTATTAGGCTTTTCTAAAAAAGCAAGAGGCTTGCCAACAGTTATCTGTTAGTTGCTACTTCGTTTTCTTGGGTTGCTGTTTTGTTTGGTTGGTTGGGGTTTTTTTAGTTATTGGTGCTTGTTGGTTTTGGGAAAACTTAGGCTGTGACTTCTGTGTCACTTCGCTGTCAGAACAATTAGGGAAAAGCAGGGCAAAGCTCAGTTCAGTCTGCCAACTGAACTATCAATTTATTTTTTACTGCAGAATAGACATTACAGTTGTGAGAAAAAAATTGGATCTGTGGCATGTGCAAGTGATCTTTTTATTTTATATTCTTCTAAAGCTGTTCAGCAAACTAAGCTTTGCTATTATCTAACCCAAAATTTCGTGTGATAGAAGGAACACCACCACTAAGAAGGAGAATGGCTGAGCTAAATAAACCAGGCCTATGGTAAAGCAATATTGTGGACTACACATTTTGCAATTTTCCATAGAATCTGACATTAACAATTTTCAAATAGCTAATCATTAAGAAGTTGTTTCTAGCCAATACTAGAGCTTAGCACTTACGGGGTAACAACTAAATGAGATGAGGTGAATGTCATAAAAGGACCAAGACATCAAGGTATTAAAGAAATGTTAACAGGTTGTCTTTCATTATTTTAGTTTGACCAAAGACATGACAGGGAAGGAAGATGTATACCGAGGCCCAGCCATCAGAGCGCTCTGCAGGATCACGGATGTAAGTACAGATCACATCACTGTGGGGGGAGAGATGATGAGTGTATTTAAAACAGAAAAACTAGTTTCTTTCACGGTGTATTCTTACAGCAGTAATGGAACTGCTGCTTTAGGGAGGACTGCTCTAAAGCCCTCTGCAGATGTGAGGAACTCTGTGGAGCTGTAGCACTGTAAGCATGAAGTTAGAAGGCAGTAGCTTTGGAGACCTAGTTTCTGATCTGAGGTTGCCTTGCTGTAGACTTCAATCTTGTCACTGAACCTTCAGGGCTGGGCAGCTGATACTCAGGTCTCCCTTGCAGAAGAATGCATTTTCAGAATTAGTTCAGGATTTGGATGACAAGCTGTCCATGAGCTAGCAGTGTGTCCTTGTTGCCAAGAAAGCCAATGGCATCCTGGGGTGCACTAAAAGGAGCGTGGCCAGCAGGGCGAGGGAGGTTCTCCTCCCCCTCTCCTCTGCCCTGGGGAGACCCCACCTGGAGCACTGGGTCCAGTTCTGGGCTGCCTGGCTCAAGAAGGATGAGGAACTCCTGGAGAGAGTCCAGAGGAGGGCTACAAAGATGACAAGGGTACTGGAGCATCTCCCCTACAAGGAAAGGCTGAGGGAGCTGGGCTTGTTTAGCCTGGAGAAGAGAAGGCTGAGAGAGGATCTGATCAACACATACAAATATCTCAAGGGTGGATGTCACAAGGACGGAGCCAGACTCTTCTCAGTGGTGCCCAGCGCCACTTGAACATGAGGAAGAACTTGTTGACTGTGAGGGTGCCCGAGCCCTGGCCCAGGCTGCCCAGGGGGGCTGTGGAGTCTCCTTCTCTGGAGATCTTCAACCCCCGCCTGGCCACTGTCCTGTGCCCCCTGCTCTGGGTGAGCCTGCTTGGGCAGGGGGGTGGCACTGGATAATCTCCAGAGGTCCTTTCCAACCCCTGCCATTCTGAGATTTTTTATTTTTTTTTCTGAGGGCCTTTTGAATATGCTGAGCATATATTTTTGCCTTTATACTGCTTTTATGCTCTGCCTGTAAAGTATTGACACTTTTCTTTTTCCCTTTCCTAGGGTACGATGTTACAAGCCATTGAGAGATACATGAAGCAAGCCATTGTGGACAAAGTCCCCAGTGTGTCTAGTTCTGCGCTGGTGTCTTCCTTAGTAAGTAAAGCAGTAGATTATTGTAAACCTGTGCATTGTGTTGTGCCTGGGAAGGCTAGTCTGCTGCATATGTGGCTCTGCCTGGCTTTCATGTTGTTCTTCTTTCATCTCCTTTTCCTTTGATATGACTCTTCTTCATCTCCTCACTGGAAAATAAACAAAAGATAGTTGCAATGGAGTTCCCTTTGTCTCAAGCAGACTCTTGTCTTCTCAAACTCCTTCCTTAATGTTCTGTTGCTCAGTCACCTCTCTGTGTTAGTTAGTTAGTTAGCCTAGAACATTAATTTCTCTGGGCAGGGGTTTGTCTGTTTTGAAAAGTCAAGTACACTGATGACCGTGAAAGCACTTACCAGTTTGGTGAGAGAAAGTTCTGTGCTGTGGAGGATTGAACACTGGAGACTGAAAGAGCGTGTGAGTTCTGTAACCGAAACTAAATCCAGTCTGCTTTGTGCTCTGCAAAAAAAACAAATCCATGAAACTGCTGCCCTGATAAGACTGCAAATCCAAGATTATTTTTGCTATAGGAGGGCTAGCTGTAGAAGTTCACTCTGTTTTTTCTCTCCCTTGTTTGGGAGAAAAGGCTGGAAAAGATCTTGTTAGGTTACTATTTTTATTAAAGAGGAGAGTAAAAGTGAAAGCATGGTAGTCTGAGATGTCAGAAAGGGAGTGGTTTATAGGCACATAGGATAAGGAGACTGGCTGCACTAGTAAATCAAGAAGATAAGCAAGAAGCAGGAGGTCCAGCTGATGAGGCAGACTGGAGCCTGTGTTAGGACCCTGAGGGTGCAAACAAAGCTGTATCAATGCTGACAACTGCAATCTTCCTGCTGGACTAACCGTCCCGAGCCCTGGCCCAGGCTGCCCAGGGGGGCTGTGGAGTCTCCTTCTCTGGAGATCTTCAACCCCCGCCTGGCCGCTGTCCTGTGCCCTCTGCTCTGGGTGAGCCTGCTTGGGCAGGGGGGTGGCACTGGATAATCTCCAGAGGTCCTTTCCAACCCCTGCCATTCTGAGATTTTTTATTTTTTTTTCTGAGGGCCTTTTGAATATGCTGAGCATATATTTTTGCCTTTATACTGCTTTTATGCTCTGCCTGTAAAGTATTGACACTTTTCTTTTTCCCTTTCCTAGGGTACGATGTTACAAGCCATTGAGAGATACATGAAGCAAGCCATTGTGGACAAAGTCCCCAGTGTGTCTAGTTCTGCGCTGGTGTCTTCCTTAGTAAGTAAAGCAGTAGATTATTGTAAACCTGTGCATTGTGTTGTGCCTGGGAAGGCTAGTCTGCTGCATATGTGGCTCTGCCTGGCTTTCATGTTGTTCTTCTTTCATCTCCTTTTCCTTTGATATGACTCTTCTTCATCTCCTCACTGGAAAATAAACAAAAGATAGTTGCAATGGAGTTCCCTTTGTCTCAAGCAGACTCTTGTCTTCTCAAACTCCTTCCTTAATGTTCTGTTGCTCAGTCACCTCTCTGTGTTAGTTAGTTAGTTAGCCTAGAACATTAATTTCTCTGGGCAGGGGTTTGTCTGTTTTGAAAAGTCAAGTACACTGATGACCGTGAAAGCACTTACCAGTTTGGTGAGAGAAAGTTCTGTGCTGTGGAGGATTGAACACTGGAGACTGAAAGAGCGTGTGAGTTCTGTAACCGAAACTAAATCCAGTCTGCTTTGTGCTCTGCAAAAAAACAAATCCATGAAACTGCTGCCCTGATAAGACTGCAAATCCAAGATTATTTTTGCTATAGGAGGGCTAGCTGTAGAAGTTCACTCTGTTTTTTCTCTCCCTTGTTTGGGAGAAAAGGCTGGAAAAGATCTTGTTAGGTTACTATTTTTATTAAAGAGGAGAGTAAAAGTGAAAGCATGGTAGTCTGAGATGTCAGAAAGGGAGTGGTTTATAGGCACATAGGATAAGGAGACTGGCTGCACTAGTAAATCAAGAAGATAAGCAAGAAGCAGGAGGTCCAGCTGATGAGGCAGACTGGAGCCTGTGTTAGGACCCTGAGGGTGCAAACAAAGCTGTATCAATGCTGACAACTGCAATCTTCCTGCTGGACTAACTGTGGGCAGGTGGAATGTCCTAGTATTCTTTTCTGTCCTGTAAACAAAAACTTGCTGAGTTACTTTTGTCTTCATTGAAACAACGGCATCCACACAAACTCTGTATTCGGGAGTTATTTTTTGTTACCTGTAGTATGCAACAAAACCCTAGATTGTCTCTAAGTCTTTAAACTTAAAAACGGAAAACAAGATTTCTGGTACTTCACTGTGCTTCTAATGTTAGTTTGTCTGCAGTCTCAATTTGTGGCTTCTTCCAGCATATGATGAAGATCAGTTATGACGTAGTCAAACGGTGGATCAACGAAGCTCAAGAAGCAGCTTCTAGTGACAATGTCATGGTGCAGGTATGTTTGAGGGGGGTTACCCCGGGAAGCTCTAAATGCACTACAGGGTTTTAATGGTATTCTGTGAGTTCTAAAGATAACCTTAGAAAAGTAACTGTTTTTTCTTCTTCCCTTATTCTTTTAATTAAGAGTTGGTTCTTTAGTGCAGGCCTCTGCCCTTTCCCTGCAAACCTTCTGATAGCTGCGATGCCACTGGCTGTTTCACGGTAGTTGTTGCAGAAGGACTTTGAATCTGAGTTTTCAAAAAGCTCCCAGAACATCAGCATCTCTTGTCTTGGCCTTCAGAAAATTTGCTACAGGACCACAGGGATTAGCCCGAGTATCAGCAAGATATCCATATTAGCAAAATCTTTTGCACATATGTTCCAGACAGCTGTTCTGACATTAATGGGGAGAAAAGGGAGTAAACTAACTTCATGGCTCTTTTGATCTTCAGAAATACGTTGAGGCTGTCTTATGTGGACAGGAAGGGGAAGGAAATACTGCAGGTCTTTGTGATTTGTCAGGAAGCTTGGATCATTTGAGGTTAGAATGTATTTCTGCTAGGAAACTGTGGTTCTTGGCTCTCTTCTATGTGTTACAGTCTGGCTTTTCCAGCTGCAGTGTGTATTCAATACCTGCACATCTCTGTTTCTGATTTACTAGTACCATGCTTTGGGGCTGCTCTATCACCTCAGAAAAAATGATCGCCTTGCGGTTTCCAAGATGTTGAATAAGTTCACTAAATCTGGACTGAAATCCCAGTTTGCGTACTGCATGCTGATCCGAATTGCAAGCAAACTCTTGAAGGAATCTGAAGAGGGGTGAGTAGGAGGCAGCATGTGAATTACAAAACTAATTATAGTTTGAGGTAAACAGTAACTAGGGAATTTGCTTTTTTGTTTTAAAGTTTGTAATAATCTACAAGCAGACGGAGAGAATGGTAGTGTTAAAAATAAAATGCAGGTAGAAGCAGAATGCTAGGCTGAACTGAGAGGTGGCATGTGTGGCAGTTGTGTGGTGGGCTTTGAACTTTTGTTTTGGCACCAGACCACCAAAGCTTAGCTGAGAGTGGCCCCCTCACTACAAGAAAGATGTTGTGTTGCTGGAACATGTCCAGAGGAGAGCAATGGAGCTGGGGAGGGGTCTGGAGCACAAGGCTGATGGGGAGCAGCTGAGGCACCTGGGGGTGTTCAGCCTGGAGAAGAGGAGGCTGAGGGGAGCCCTTATTGCCCTCCACAACTGCCTGACAGGAGGTTGTAGGGAGGTGGGTGTTGGTCTCTTCTCCCTGGTAACGGGCGATAGGACGAGGGGAAATGGCCTCAAGTTGCGCCAGGGCAGGTTTAGGTTGGACATTAGGAAAAATTTTTTTCACTGAAAGGGTTGTCAAGCATTGGAATGGGTTGCCCAGGGAAGGAGTCGAGTCCCCATCCCTGGGGGGATTTAAAAGCCAGGCAGACGAGGTGCTTAGGGACAGGGCTTAGGGGTGGGATGGCAGGGGTAGGTGAACGGTTGGGCTTGATGATCTTAAAGGTCTTTTCCAACCTAAACGATTTTAAGATTCTAAAACTGCAGAATAAGGGTTTGTACTTTGTCTAGTTAGATGCATTTCAAATGCAATAAGGATCTACTTATGTTATGGGGATATAAATAAAAGGAACTCTCTTATTCTGGTCTCACACTAGCAGAGGAGGGTATAGTTACCTGAGAAATTCACCTCCTGATGGAATTTTTATCAGTGGAAATTTTTGTTAATGCTGTGTGATACATGATTAATAATAAAGTCTGTATTTCTGGAGCGCAGCATTTCTAGCTTGAAGAAGATAATGTAAAGATGAATAGAAGAGTAAATAGAAAGCTTAGACCTCAAGTATGAGTTGAGCAATACAGTGCTGTAGGAAGCATGATAGCCAGTGCATTAGCTGTGCTTTCTGTCAAGTTCTCAGAAATTTGGTATTAGTGGTTTGTACGTAATTCAGCATCTTGCTGTGAAATGTCTTCTGTTTGTAGCCATGAAAGTCCGCTGTTTGACTTCATTGAGAGCTGTCTGCGGAATAAGCATGAAATGGTTATTTATGAAGCTGCTTCTGCAATCATCCATCTCCCAAACTGCACAGCCAGGGAGCTGGCACCTGCTGTTTCAGGTTGGTCACAGAGTCCTTTGTATCACAGATGCAGCTGAAAGAAAGGGTGGTAAAGCCCATCAGAGACTTTACAGCGTAACTAAATTACTGGACTCAAACCCTGAATTTTCCCCAAGTTAGAGGGCTTTTGGATGAGAAGCAGCTTGATCCCTTTTTCACATTTCACCCAAAACTTTAGAGAACGGGCACTGGAGGTGGCACAGGGTGATGCTTTCCTTTTTCCAGCTGCAGGAAGTTGGGGTGGGAGGGAGGGAGAACTCGATAGCACAGATGGGCCACAGATGACTGCACAAACCACCTATTATTGATAGAAGATGAAAAATGGGAGGTTATTTTTAACTTGCTGGTGAAGCTAGTGATAAATTATGAATAGAGCTGCATGAACATTTAGCAGCATGTAGTTGACTGTGAATACGTTAGACTTTTCCCTCTACTCTCTCTTTGAAAGAGACCATATCTGGTTTTCTACTGTGGTGAATTCTGAGTAAACTATTTGTACCTCTCAATACCAAAGTGCTGGCACAAGGCAGTTTCCCTTTCCTCATCTCGTGTGGCCGTGAGGGCTCTCCCCAAACATTACTGGTGCCTAGAGTTGCAGTACTGGGAGCTGGTTTTTGTTAAACAGTCTCTATTCTGTAACGCTTTGTTGTGAGTTACTTCTGTTGATTATTTTATTATTATTATTATTTTCAGTGCTGCAGCTCTTCTGTAGTTCTCCCAAACCTGTCTTGAGATATGCAGCTGTACGGACCCTTAATAAAGTGAGTGCTTCCAAAACCTTCTAAACAAATATAAAACTCTGAGCAGCAGAGGAAGCCAGACATCGGTGCCTAATGGTGTGTTACCTGAAGTAGAGCAACTGCTCTTGTGGTTACTGTATTTGGAAACACTCCATGTTGGAGAATTGGCTTTTCCATGCCAGATCTCCTGGCGTGACAGAAATATCTTCTGCACTCAAGCTACGTTTGCCCATTTCTGAACCACAGGGCTATAACAAGCTGTAGATGGACAGCTTGTGAGCTTTCAGCTGTAAGGAAGCAGAGTCCCAGATATTTAAGACCACGAAAAGTGTGAATAGGATGTGTGTGAAGGCAATAACGTTCTGATTTCAAAGCTGCACACTGCAACAGACGCAGTTTCTGACTGTCAAACCCACAAGCTGTAACTTAGATTTAGAGGAGTTAATTTGAAGCATTGAAACAAAAGAACCTGAGCTTTGATTGCATCCAGCAGTCCTGTGATGTAGGTTTAGTTGTGATCCTTGTGGAACAGAGCTTGAAAAACAAAAATGGGCTTTAATCCTTGCCCCATCGAAAGCTGTAGATTGTAGAATATTATTGCTCCCACATAATTTGTAATTGCATTCTTTACAGGTAGCCATGAAGCATCCATCTGCAGTCACTGCCTGCAACCTGGACCTGGAAAACCTCATCACTGACTCCAACCGCAGTATCGCTACCCTCGCCATCACCACCCTGCTGAAGACAGGGAGTGAGAGCAGTGTAGACAGGCTCATGAAACAGATCTCTTCCTTCGTGTCAGAAATATCAGATGAGTTTAAGGTGTGGCATTGGAGGCCTCTGCTCTTTCCAGCTGCAGGTTTTTCTCCCATTCTTTTTATGAAGCTTTTCCCATATGCGAATCCTTCAGTCATTTAGTCTGATAGAGCAAAGCCAGCCTGAAATTCAGAAGGTGTAGTCCTCTGTTTTCCAACTTAAATATACTGTGTCGTTTCTTCCCACCACTCCAGGAAAGGACAAATGTCGTTTGGTGGATTACTGGCTCCTGTGCAGTATCCTGCAAAACCTTGTACTGCCTTCTGGTTACCTCTTCGGAGCGGAAGAGGGATTTTGACTGTTCTGATTGAGTCTCTATCACTTCAGTCTGATACATAGTTAGGAAATAGTGTGAACTGTAAATTTCTACCTAATTTGTCAAGTTTGGTCACTATGAACTCTGGTAGTAACTTGGTTAAGGATGGTAGTTCACTTATACCTGTCCCTTTTACACTGTGGAGTTGCCTTTGAGGAGCATAGCACGTCTCTACAGAGTCCTTGTCTGCTAGTGTACAGTGGTCTTAAGATCTTGTTTTTATGAGAAATGGAAATAAGTATTACACAAGTTTAAAATTGCACAGAGTTTTAATGGCAAAATGTAACTAGTTAAGTTAGAATTAGGTCAGGATCATCACTGGGCAGAGGAAGCAAGGGGGAAGCCTTTGAATTAATGTAGTCCATCCTAAATTACAGTCCCTCTAGCAGAGCCAGGTCTTGCAGCATGCTAGCACAAGGTTGTTAACACCTTTCTGCTGAGAGTCCACCACCTGATTTTTATCCTTCTTGTACATGAATTTAATCTATTGAGGTGACAACTTGAGATAACGAGCAGCCTGTATTTTTCATAGAAAAATAAATGCACACGACTAACGTCCTCTCTGTTGTTTTGCAGGTAGTGGTAGTACAGGCTATCAGTGCACTGTGCCAGAAATACCCTCGGAAACACAGCGTCATGATGACCTTCCTCTCCAATATGCTCAGAGATGATGTATGTTTGAAACTTTCTTTGTGTAGTTATTGGCAGGCAGCTCTGATAGGTGGTGCGAAGGGTCTCTTATGTCAGTGGGTACGCAGCAGTGATGGGGCCTGACTGATTACCAAGCCCTTGTTTCTCTCGTGGGTCAGACCTGTCTGAAATGTGCTAATGAATTAGAGCTGGTACATCGAAAAACTGATCTGAAGATTTGGTCAGATGATGTGCCTGTTACGGGTCAGCGGGGACTGGGAAGACCCTGTTGGATTATCCAGCACGCCTTTTCTCTTTATGTACAAATGCTTGGTTTCTTCAATGGAAAGAAGTAATTGAAGCACGAGGGGAACTGAGCAGCACTGTGGTTTGAGCTCTGCCTGCCAGGTCAGTGTCCTCGATTTTCCTTTCCCAGGGTGGCTTTGAGTACAAGCGAGCCATTGTGGACTGTATAATCAGCATCATTGAGGAGAATCCTGAGAGTAAGGAATCGGGCTTGGCTCACCTCTGCGAGTTCATTGAAGACTGCGAACATACTGTCCTAGCCACAAAGATCCTGCACCTGCTGGGGAAAGAGGGGCCGAGGACTCCATCCCCATCCAAGTACATCCGCTTCATATTCAACAGGGTGGTGCTGGAGAACGAGGCTGTGAGGGCTGGTAAGTTCAGCTCAAATGCTCGACAGTTTTGTGTCTGAGCTCTGCTACAAATCTGAGGCCTGAAACTGGGTCTGGGGCTGGGAGGCAATGGTTACTCCACAGGCACTGTGAAGAGTAACTCTTCCATGCATCAGCTGTGAAGGTGATCTTGTCCTGCAGTGTGTTTAAACTCTTTACATCATCTTAGTGTCAGCACTTGGTCCTCCTGCTTTGCAGAACATAAGCAATATATTGGCTTCTAGTCCCTTCTTTGAATGTCACCCGAAAGTCGAGAGGTAATACATGAGGAGGGGACGTTGCTGCTTCCATAAGAAGCATAACAAACTATCATCCTTTTATATGGAAATCTCCCCTCCACAAGATCAGGTTTCCTCCTTGGAAGCATGTTGCAGACTGATACTTCCTCCCTGCAGAGCCTTTACAACAAACCCTTTAGAATGTTCAGCCTTTTTTCACATTTGAGATTTGGCATTGGAGGGATATCGGCATCAGCTTGATCTCCTGCCTGTTAGAAGAGGAATTGTGGCTGGGAGAGAGGAAACAAAATTTGGCTCACAAATACAGCACAGTCCAGATTGCATTTGATTTTTGGTGACAGCTCTTTTGGTCACAGTTTCCCGATTGTGGCTTGGGAGCATGTGAAGAGCATCCCCCAGAGAGCATACGCTGTATAGAAACTTTGTTGTTGTAAAAATACGGATTCTTTTATAACCACCAAGGCCCTAAAGCTTGTACTTCCTTACAGAGCTTTCTCTTCTTTCTATAGGTGCGATTTCTTCAAGCCAATGCTGAGCTGAAATTAGATTAGTTTGGACAGGGAGCTATAAGTGGTTGCTGAGGGGTTTCAGCTCTTTGCAAAGTTACTGGATGCTGTCTGGCCCCCATCAGCACTGGCTGCCTGTCACCCCTGTGTGTGAAAAACGGATTTATCTGGGGCTGTGAGCTACAGTTAATGGCAGAGGGGCCAACAACTGGAATGAGCCACAGAGCTTGAACTAACCTTATCTGCTAGAGACCTCTCTCAGGACAGAGTTGCAGGGCTGTTAAGCTGATCTTGTTCTGTTATTCCCTGACACGAAACTATTTCCATTGGAAAATACAGAAATAGTTTACTCTTTCTATAACACTAAAAGGTTTATGGTGTGGAAGTGAAAACCTGTGTAAATTGGAACTTCAGGACAACAGTATGCAAAGCACTCTGCATCTGACTGTGAGAATGTGTTTGTGTATAGCTTGAGCACCTCTGACATCTCCCTGTCGTCTTCTCCAGCCGCTGTAAGTGCACTAGCGAAGTTTGGTGCCCAGAACGAGAATCTCCTTCCCAGCATCTTGGTCCTGTTGCAGAGGTGAGTGGGTATGGCTGTTGTTGTGCTTGTGCTGAGCTTGGTGGCGACACTGGGTGGTCTGGCTCCACAGAAGCCACAAGGCCAGACCACATCAGAACTTGTACTGGGGTTGTCACAACATAGCGGTAGAGCAGTTGGGAAATGGCTGTCTTCTGCCCTTCCTTCCTGGCTGGAGGGAAGCATAGTGCTGCTGGAGATAAGCAAATGAAAGATGTAATTAGTCATGAAAACATCTGATAGTAATCTGGTCTGAGACCGTTCCTCAGTGGGTAATAAATCTACACTGATTTAGTACATTTTTTTGCATCCCTTGAAGCAAGAAAATACATTTCCATGTTACTCATAAATAACTTTTGTGTACGGTTGAGTAGTGATCTCAAGTGTTCCCATTTCACAGGTTTGTGTCTCTCATTAAGACCATTCGGCCTCCTTAAATTGCCTGTACCATAAATGTCATGGTCTTCATTTGTGTACCACCATAGAGTAAAGCTATGCCATATCTGACTTCTGAGGAGAGAGGAGTAATTCAAATTATGAAGTGCTTCGGGCAGAAGGCAACCTCAGTGTAGGTGCAAGTGAATTACAACAGCAAGGAGCGACTTGAGTAATGCGGGAAGGGAGGGGCGTTGCTCTCTTTACAAACCACCTGCTATATTTGAAAAACTGGGTGAATACTTGAGCGCACAACCATTTTTTTTTTTTTCAGTCTGAAATGGAAAGCAGCTTTAACATGTTCATCTTTGTAATCTATTTCTTCTGCTTTTGTTCTGTTGTGAAAGAATGCTATTTAAAAACAAAACATTGCAACTACATGGTGCCCATCAGAATTATTAGCCATAAAATGCAGGTGTGTATTTTATAATCTAGCAAGTGTGCATGGTGTTAACAAGTCACATGCAGATGTCTTTTAATCTTAATTTTCTCATGTAACAATTACATATAAATCTTAAGTTAAACTTCAACTACTGTGTTATATGAACACTTTTTTTCTCCTCATAATTTGTAAATCTACTGAGGGAGCTCAGACTATCATTGCAGTATCAAGTCCAATCTTATCAATGCCATTTTTTAGCTCAGCTCTCATGATGATGTTACCTGGCTGACTGCTGTCCTCTTGTCCCCCAAAACAGGTGCATGATGGACAGCGATGACGAAGTTCGGGACAGAGCAACGTTCTACTTGAATGTACTGCAACAGAGACAGATAGCTCTGAATGCTGCCTATATCTTTAACGGTCAGTGATAGAAAGGAACAAAGTTTGAGCTGTTATTTCACATTCTGTGTTGTGGGTGGGCTTTGTTGCCCTAAGAACAGTTTTCTGTAGTGTAATTTGGGTCAGAATAACTAGAAAGGATGGAACTGTGTGGGTTTTTTTTAACCCCAGCGCTTTGCTATGAAGTACTTGCGCTGAGAATGGCAGATTTGGCAAAATATGGGAAGGATCATCTAGGAAATGGAGCAGGAGTATGGGTTGGGCTTTTTTCATCTTTGCCTCGTTCACGTGGGACAGTTTTCTTCACCTTTGCTCCATCTTCTCCATTACAAAGTGAGGATGACGCATCTTGTTGCCAGGATTGGTTATAAAAAAGTTTTACGGTCTGTAGTTCATAGTTCATGCAAGCAGAGTATTTAACATATTTAAGACTGTCGCAAGAGGACTTTTCTCAAGTGAACTGTTTAGACTGCAGTACCCTCTGGAACAGCAACTTCCTGTGTCCTGACCTCAGTACCGGGGAAGATTATGGAGAGGTTCATCTTGAGTGTGCTCACCAGGCACATGGAGGACAATCAGGGGATCAGGCCCAGCCAGCATGGGTTCATGAAGGGAAGGTCTTGCCTAACCAACCTGACTTCCTTCTACGACCAGGTGACCCGCATGGTAGATGAGGGAAAGGCTGTGGATGTTGTCTACCTGGACTTCAGCAGAGCCTTCGACACAGTCTCCCATAGCATTCTCCTGGAGAAGCTGGCAGCTCATGGCCTAGATGGATGTTCTCTTCGCTGGGTTAAAAACTGGCTGGATGGCCGAGCCCAGAGAGTCGTGGTGAATGGAGCTAAAGCCAGTTGGCGGCCGGGCACAAGCGGTGTCCCCCAGGGCTCAGTCCTAGGGCCAGTCTTGTTTAATATCTTTATCAATGACCTGGATGAGGGGATTGCGTGTGCTCTCAGCAAATTTGCAGACGACACCAAACTGGGTGGTAGTGTTGATCTGCTTGAGGGGAGGAGGGCTCTGCAGAGAGACCTGGACAGGCTGGATCGATGGGCCGAGGCCAACTGCATGAGGTTCAACAAGGCCAAGTGCCGGGTCCTGCACTTTGGTCACAACAACCCCATGCAGCGCTACAGGCTTGGGGAAGAGTGGCTGGAAAGCTGCCTGG